TTCCCAAGGGTCCCCCTAACCCTATCCCCTTCAAACAAAGCCATCAGCTCAACACCAAGGCCGCGTTTGCGGCTGGATCCCCAGACAAGCCGGTCTTGTAGGGAAGATCGAGAATTGTAAGTTGTGCCCAAACCCCAAACCCTGAAGCCCTATCTGCGAAGCCTTAACCCTAAAACCCAAACCCTTCTCGGCCCTGACTGCTGAGCTTTGAGTTCCCGGGCAGCGTGTTTAGCCAGTTGGCTACTGCACCTGCAACCCTTAACCCTAAACCGTAAACCCTAAGCCCTACAAGCCCTGTCTGTATTTGGGTCGAGGGCTTGGGGGTTTGGGGTTTAGTTGTAAACTCCCCAAACCTAAAGTAGTTTAACTAGGGTTACGGGCAAAGCCCAGCACCTCGAGACGCCTAAACCCTAACCCCTAAACCCCTAAACCCCAAACCCCAAACCCTAAACCCTAAACCCTAAACCTTAAGCCGGAAGTCAAGGGCGCAGGCCTTAGGGAGGGCATAGCGACCTAAGAACCCTCTCAACATAGCAAGCAGGGGTTCCTTAAACCATTCCAGTAAGCCTTAAACCCTTGCAACACGCAGGGGAACCTTAAACCCTAAACCCTAAACCCTAAACCCTAAACCCTAAACCCTAAACCCTAAACCCTAAACCCTAAACCCTAAACCCTAAACCCTAAACCCTAAACCCTAAACCCTAAACCCTAAACCCTTGCAACCCGCAGGGGAACCTTAAACCCTTCCAGCAAGCAGGGGCGTTAAACCCTCCCAGTCTAAACCCTCCCAAGTAAGCAACGGTCTTAAGCCCTTCCGGTTGGCAGGGTGACGTTAAACCCTCCCAGTATGGGGGGGGGGGGGGGGGCGCCTTAAACCCTTCCCTTCCAGTAGGCGGAGAGTTAGTAGCTTCTACCAGGACTTTCGGCCACCAACTCAAAGACCCAACCTTCCCTAACACCTAGATCGATTCCTCCTACTACTGACCCGAAGAATCCAATTAAACCCTACCAGAAACTCTATCTAGCCTAAGCCCTAAACCCTCAACCTCAGGAATTCTCAGGGCCTGCGGTGCCAGGGTTCAGGCTTCGGGGTTTAGGGTTTAGGGTTCAGGGTTCAGGGTTCAGGGTTTAGGGTACCCTTTGAGGCTACGTCATGTTTGACATCAAGCTGAACTGCGATGGCGGCACCAACCCACCCAGGCGCCACACAAGTCGAGAGAATGGGGTTTAGAGACATCTGGGGCCACATGTCCCTAAACCCTAAACCCTATACCCTAAAAACTAAACCTTAAACCCTAAACCCAGCTGCCGTTGCCCATTGCATATCCGCCCATAGCCATACGTAGCCCTGGCCCTACAATTTGAGTTCCGCGCGCCCACCCGAAAGTTCAAAATCCATACCCAAAAGCCTCTCGACTTACCCCTGCGCCTTCAACAGTAACCTCATACACAACAGAGTTTCGGCTTTAGAGTTTAGGGTTTAGGGTTTAGGGTTTATGGTTTTGTTTATGGTTTAGGGGGAACCCAACGTGACCGCATTGGCCCAGGAGGCTTCCCTCAGATGGGTCGGGTGCCGAGTTTTGGAAGCGTGTAGGCCTTAGGTTTTAGGTTTAGGGTTTAAAGGTTTAGGGTTAGGAATCAGGGTTTAGGGTTTCTGGTTTAGCGCTTCGGATATAGGTTCAAGGTTTAGGGCTAGAATGAGGATTTTGAAAATCAGGGTGTAGAGGTCTAGGGTTCAGGGCTTGGGTTGGCGAGCTTCCTATAGCTCTCAGATATTCTATTCTCTCCGGGCTCAGGGTTAGTAAATGGGAGCTTGGGGTCTAGGGTTTAGGGTTTTAGGGTTTGGGGTTTAGGGGTTTGGGGTTTGGGGTTCAGGGTTTAGGGTTTAGGGTTTAGGGTTAGGGTTTGTCTCAGGCCTTGCAGTCTTTAGGGTGCTGAGTGACTCCACGAGAGCATCCGAGAGGTGGCTGGCAACTTCCTTGCGAAGTTGTTGGGTTGAGGGTTTAGGGTTTAAAGCTAAGGGTTTAGGCTTTAGGCCTTAGGCTTTAGGGTTTAGGGTTTGGGGTTTGGGGTTTGGGGTTTAGGGTTTAGGGTTTAGAGCGACGTGAAAGTAAGGACATATACGTTTAATCGCTTGCGGTCGCGTCCAACTCAGCCAGGATGTCTATGAATTGAAAGCATGCCTCACTCACTGCATGCAGATTGCATTGTGCTTTAGCGGTCCCGCCCTAAGCCCTCACCCCTAAACCCGCAAAGCCCCTAAACCCTATACAGCCTATACACCCAACCCTGTACAGCCTCAAGCCCCCGAAGGCCGCTAAACCCTAAACCACCTGGGCCCTAGATCATCTTCGATGGGTAAGTACAACCAGAAGGTCCCTCCATATGAAACGAAACCCGCAGCTCCTAAGACCACATATCTGCTGGTGGATTCTGTAAAGTAGAGGCCCTAAGGATCTGTGCTTAGAAGCTCTCTTGACTTATTAAGTCTACTTAGTATCCCCCAGACACCGCATTAGAATCCCCCTAACCCACCTTACAAACCCTACTTGCGAACTCAAGACCCGCCACCCAACAAGCCTCATAGCTACCCAAACCCCACGCCTCAAACTCCTACACTCCTAAGCTCCTCAACTCCGAAACCCTGAACCTCCCAAGCTCCCAAACTCCCAAACTCATAAAACCGAAACCTCCTAAGCTCCTAAACTCCTAAACCCTAAACCCGAAACCTCCTAAGCTCCCTAAACTCCTAAAGCCCTAAACCCTGAACCTCCTAAGCTCCTTAAACCCCTAAACCCCTAAACCCCTAAACCCTAAACCCTAAACCCTAAACCCTAAACCCTAAACCCTAAACCCTAAACCCTAAACCCCCAAGTGTGTTCAAGGAAAGGCCTGAGCATGCTGGCTGTGGTCGGCAGGTGCGGCTTCAGAAGCCCAGGGCTGGAGAAGTTTAGGGTTTAGGGTTTAGGGTCTAGGGTGGGCAGTTTAGGGTTTAGGGTCTAGGGTGGGCAGGTTAGGGTTTAGGGTGGGCAGTTTAGGGTTTAGGGTGGGTAGTTCAGGGTTTGGGTTCACTTAAGGGTTTAGGATTTAGGGTTCAGGGATAGTGGTTTAGGGTTTAGGGTTTAGGGTTTCGGTTTTTGGGTTTCGGGTTTAGGGTTTAAATTGTATAGGGTTCAGGTCCGGAGTTTTGACCGAAAGTTTTGAGCGAGTTGTTGTTTTTTTGCTTTGGACTGGGATTGGGGCTGGGGGCTGCTGGGGCGGCTGGGGTTGGGGGCTGGGGGGCCAGGTGGCTGCTGGCAGCGAGGGCTGGTGATGCTTTTGAGTAATCTAGTCAAACTCGGCTTGTCAGCCGTTTAGACAAACATCTTGGGAAATTGAATGAATGATACGACCACATTGGATGAGTTTACTTAAGCTCTGCTTGTCAGCTGTTTAGGCAAATAACTTGGAACCCAAAAGTTTCAGTTCATTGACTACTTGGCCTCTCAAGGGCGCTCTGAATTGATTGACTTAAGCTCGGCTTGTGATCCGTTTAGACATATAACATGGGACATGCAAGATGATACCACACACAATTTCTATTTATCCCGGTCCTGAGGGTTTACGGTTTAGGGTTTTAGGGTTTTAGGGTTTTAGGGCTTTAGGGCTTTAGGGTTTTTTAGGGTTTTAGGGTTTTAGGGTTTTAGGGTTTTTAGGGTTTTAGAGTTTTAGGGTTTTTTAGGGTTTTAGGGTTTTAGGGTTTTTTAGGGTTTTAGGGTTTTAGGGTTTTAGGGTTTTAGGGTTTTAGGGTTTTAGGGTTTTAGGGTTTTAGGGTTTAGGGTAGGGTTTTAGGGTTTTAGGGTTAGGGTTTTAGGGTTTTAGGGTTTTAGGGTTTTAGGGTTTAGGGTTTAGGGTTTAGGGTTTGGGCAGCATGTCCTCCGGGAGGCCGGCGCTGAAGCTTCCGGTTGAGACGCGGAGGCTGCTGATGGACGAAGAGGCCTTTAGGGCTACACAGGGACCCTAAACCCCAAAACGCCCCCACATAATGGGGTTTAGGGTTTAGGGTTTCGGGTTTAGGGCTTAGCGTTTAGGGTTTAGGGCTACAAAGGGATCCTAACCCCAGAAACGCCAATACCACACGTAGGGCTTAGGGTTCTGGGTTCAGGGGTTTAGGGTTTAGAGTTAAACCTTAAACCTTAAACCTTAAGCCTTAAGCCTTAAGCCTTAAGCCTCAAGCCTTAAACCCTAAACCCTAAACCCTAAACCCCTAAACCAGGGGGTTTAGGGTTTAGAGTTATAAACCCTTCACGTCGCAAAGCCCGGAAGCTTGCCCCCTGGGTTGGTTGTTTGTAGAACGAGAGGAGTGCTACCCAAACCCCAAACCCTTAACCCCAAACCCCATAAGCCCCAAACCTAAACCCCAAACCCTAAACCCTAAACCCTAAACCCCACTCCCTGAGGTGGAGGAGGTCGTTCCAGACTTCACCTGGTGGCTTGGCAAGGTGCAGGGCAACAGCTCCCGGAGCCAATGCTTGGAGGGTCGGGGTACTTAGCAAGTAGGGTTATGTTAGTAAGTAGGGTTATAAGTAGTTCTAAGTTACTTCTAACCCCCTTACTAAGTCCCCTGATCCTTTAAGTATATAAGCTCACCATTCCAGGTATCGGTCCCTAAATTCATGTAGAGTTTAGGGTTTAGGGTTTAGGGTTTAGGGTCCAGGGTCTAGGGTTTAGGGTTTAGGGTTTAGGGTTTAGGGTTTAGGGTTTAAAGTCTAGGGTTTAGGGTTGAGTGTTTAGGGTTTAGGACCCCAGCCCTTAAATTCATGCGGAGTTCGGGGTTTAGGGCTTCGGGTTTTTGACCCCCCAAACCCCCTGCTCTCCCTGCCCCAGAGTGTCCCGTTTAAACCAACAAGGGCACCCTGCTTGTTCCTAGCTAACTCAACCCTGAACCCTAAACCCGTAACCCTGAGCCCTAAACCCTAAACCCTAAACCCTAAACCCGTTTTATTCCTAGTTATTCCTAGGTCACGCTGGTGCAGATGCTCAAGGAGCTCAAGGACCAAGGCCGTCAAGGGGCGCAGCAGTGGGGAGTCGCTGCAGCCCGGTCGGCTGCCGCCCTGAACCAGCTCACGGAGATCCTCAAGCACATCATGCAGGCGACCGTCCAAATCCACCAACATGGCTCCACCACCTTCCTCGAAAGCGGCGACGTTGCCAGGTACACCGAGAGGTCGTGGTCCCGTGCTGGCTCGATGTTGGCGGTGTCACAACTGCCTGATCAGAAGCGAGAAGCCAACAAGCAGACTGCCCTGCCTGGAGCCATCAAAAAACGCCGTAGCAAAGTGTGCAGGCAAATATGGTCCGAGCCATGGCGCCCAGAGAGCCCTAAATTTCGAAAGCTTGGGTGGCAAGTTGCTTGCTTGGTTTTAGGGTTTAGGGTTTAGAGTTTAGGATTTAGGGTTTCGGGTTTCGGGTTTCGGGTTTGGGGCTTCGGGTTTCAGGGTTCAGGGCTTTGGGTTTAGGGTTTGTAGGGCTTGTAGGTTTTTTTTGTTTAGAGTGGCTCGTCCAAACCCTAATAGTAAAGGAACGCTGCAGGTGTGTAGTTATGGTTTATACAAGCCTCTTTTAGCAATATTGGGGGGGGGGTTATCGTTTACATAGGCCTCTCTTATGGAGGCACACTGCCCACCTGAACTTACTGCCCTTGAACCTGAACCCTAAGCCCTAAACCCTTAAACAAGATTCAAAACCGCCAAGGAAGGAACAAGCCCTGAGCAAAGACTGGGAAACCACCTCCCCTCGCGACCTGGCCTGCGATCGGTTTTAGGTTCGTGGCTGAGGGGTTTCGGGTTTAGGGGTTTAGGGGTTTGGGGGTTTAAGGTTTAGGGCTTTGGGTTAGGGGTTTAAGGTTTTAGGGGTTTAGGGGTTCAGGGGTTCAGGTGTTCGCGGGTTTAGGGGTTTAGGGGATTCACTAGGACGGTTTAAGGCTTGACCTAGAGGAAGCCAACCTACAGTCACAAAATTAACGTACCAACCTCAAAGACCCTTAAACATTTGGATATGTTCTGTTCTTGGTGTATGTGGGCTACTGTGGGCAGGGGCTTAGGCGTAAGGCTTCAGTTGCGGTGGCTTTGGATGGTTCAAAGATTGAATAGTTAAGGCGGCTTTGGATGGTTCAAAGATTGAATAGTTCAGGGTTTAGGGATTTAGATATTTAGGGTTCAGAGAATTAGGATCCCCCAAACCCCCACCCAAAGGGATAATTCCAAGAACTAGGTGGCCGGAATCCTAAACCCTAAGCCCGAAATCCTAAACCCTAAACCCTACACCCTTGTGATGACTTTACCGGCTCGGTTCAGCTGCACCGGTCGAGTCAAGGGTGCTCCCAAAAAAATGCTAAAAGCCCAAGTCCTGAATGGCCTAAGGCCCTACGGTTTCGCGTTTAGGGTTTAGAGCTTAGGGTTTAGGGCTTAGGGTTTAAAAAAACCAAAACCCCAGACCTTTCTTGCCCAGGCACCCCACAGACGATGGTGAAGGCAGGCAGTGTTTGATGATGTTGGCCAGTCACCACCACATTGCATCCTTCACCTGAAAAGATGTGGAGAAACGTCGAAGAACAGACTTTCGTAAAAGCCCTACACCCAAGAACCCCGGCAGCAGAAACCCCTGACCTCAACAACCCTAACCCTCAGACCCAAGGACCCGAACCCGACCCTCCCCGGACACCATAACCTCCGGCACACTCCCCCAGTTGGGCAGGATGCGCAATCCATGCGGACGCGAACACCTCCCGGCACCCCGACAGTGATAGTGGGTTTAGGGTGCAGCTTACAGGCACTTCTTAAAGAAGGGGATGCGGTTTAAGGGACCGGCCTGAAGGGTTATTTCGGCCCTAAACAACTAAGATGAACCCTAAACCCTCCTCTACTCTAAACTCAACAGTCGAAGGGGTTGCGTGACAGATTCGCAACCCTGTCAACGCATCCCAGGCACGCCAAGCGGGCCGATGGTAACGAACTTCACCGACAAGGCCGACCACAGCAATCTAAACGTCTTGAGGCCTAGACCCTAAAGCCATAGCCCTAAACCCTCAACTTAAGAACCCAAACCCTAAACCCTAAACGGTTTGGCATACAGGATTGTGCAGGGGCTGCGCTGTAGGCCGTCTAGGCGCGTATTGCAGAGTTTGGGGTGTAGGGTTAGGATTAAGGGTTCTCTGCATCAACCATCAAGGTAGACATACCTAAACCCTAAACCGTAACTCCTAAACCCTAAACCCTAAACCCTAAACCCTAAACCCTAAACCCTAAACCCTAAACCCTAAACCCTACACCCTACACCCTACACCCTAAACCCTAAACCCTAAACCTTAATTGTAAACGCTTGCGCGCGCCGCCTCGACAGCCGGGCCGGCCCCAGGACAGGAAAAGGAGGAAAGAGGGTTTCGCAAAAAAGGGAGGAAGGGCAGAGCGGGTGGGGGGGGGGGTGAGGGGGGGGGGTGGGGGGGGGGGGGTGAGGGGGGGGGTGGGGTCGGGGGGGGGTGGGGGGGGGGGTGGGGGGTGGGGGTGGGGGGGGTGACATGCAAGGGATTGGGCGGGGTTGCACAAGGGCGGGGGGGGGGGGGGGGGGGGGGTGGCGTCAGAAAATTTGGTCTGGAGGGGGCGATCCGGGTCTGCTTGTTCCAGACGCTTCTGGAAGCCGAGGCGAATTAAACCCATACCCACGAGCTAGGGCGAGCTACCTTTTCTACTACGGCAAGGAGCAGGTGGCCACGTCTCTGGCCTCGCGAGCGGAGCTCTTGGAGACGAGTCTCGGGGATTCCGGCGCCAAGCACGCTAGGGTTTAGGGTTTAGGGTTTAGGGTTTAGGGGTTAGGGTTTAGGGTTTAGGGTTTAGGGTTTGGGTTTAGGGTTCAGGGTTTAGGGTTTAGGGTTTAGGGCTTAGGGCTTAGGGCTTAGGGTTGAAGATCACGGATCTGCCGGTCATCGTAGTTTCGTGGAAGGAGCGACATAGACACCCGGAGAGTGCTACACTCAGGCGTATGAGCTTCATGCCAGAAGCTGCCATCACCGTTCAATGCCCTTAGGGTCCATGCGCCTGGATTGTATATACGTGAGCCCATAAAGCTACGAATATGGGAACGCCTTTAAGGCCCAGAATATACCATATAGGTGCATGGACCCCTCGGGTTAGAGGTCAGAAAGTGCGATGGGCCAATGGTTTCTGCCTGGGCGCAGCCTGACTTGAGTGCTGGGTAGGCAGGCTCCTCTACGCAGGCAGGGTTTCGCAGTTCCGGTACCGTGGATTCCCCACAAAATGAGGGGGTTGTCCAAGGTTTAGTGGGTTCCCGCAAGCCCCAAACAGGCACTTGAAGGTCAGCATTAGCAGGCGTATGATGAACATTGACATGAAGAACCTACTTCCATGAGACCTAAGCTTTCAATTTGAACGCCTTAAACCCTAAGCCCCAAGCCCTAAACCCTAAGCCCTAAACCCGAAACCCTAAACCCTAACCCTAAGAACCTAAGCCACGGTACTGCGGCGCACAGGATCTGGCACCCCGGGCACGACCGATGATGCCGCTGGTCTGGCTTGAGGTTGGGATTTTGTCTAGGGTTTAGGGTTTAGGGTTTAGGGTTTAGGACTCGGAGGTTAGGCTTGGGGGTTGGTTTCGGGGTTGAGGTGGACGGCTGAGGGTTGAGGGTGTAGGTTTTCACCCTAACACAAACAAGGTCTGACCCTAAACCCTAAACCCTAAACCCTAAACCCTAAACCCTAAACCCGTGTGGGAGTTCAGGGGCTTAGAGGTTTGCGTGCCAGGAGGTTGCCTTCTTTAGGGGGTCTCTTGCCGTGTTGGAAACACTGAAGCCCTAAAGCCTTAAAACTGTACTTGGAGGTATATTAGGGCACTCAAGGGGCTTATAAGTGGGTTATAAGTGCAGTTATAATTGGTAAATAAGTACCATGAACCTCCAAGTATAGGCTGTGAGGCTCTCATCAAACCCTCAACCCTCAACCCTCAACCCTAAACCCTAAACCCTACACCCTAAACCCTAAACCCTAAACCCTAAACCCTACGTCGTCCTACTGAGGCCAGAAGACCCTGAGGAGGAGGCCATGCCACTGCCCAGCGCCTCGCATGCTCAAGGGTTTAGGGTTTAGGGTTTAATTAGGGTTTACGGTATAGGGTTTAGGGTTCAGGGTTCAGGGTTTAGGGTTTAGGGCATTTCTTGTCCGGGGGGCGGGGGGGGCAGAGGTAGCTCTAGAGGCTTTAGGGCTCCGCGTTCTAGATGGGAGTGACCCCGACTCTGGACCCACAACTAGGATGTTAGGGTCTTGGGGTTTGGGGTTTGGGGTTAGGGTTTGGGGCTTAGGGTTTCCCTAAGCCCGCCAAACCCAAACTCAAAGGGCCCTCGAGAGTTGGGTGCCTAAAGGATGGAAGCTTGAAACCCGAAACCGAAAACCCTGTCGCACGTCCACTGTGATGCCCTGTGGTACTCGTGGCCCTGAACATAGCCGGTTTTTCCAGGTTAGGGCTGAGGGGCTATACTCCTTTGTCCAGTGAGAGTCTTCCCTCTTGGGGGACAGAGTTCCCTTACAAAAGACCCTTCAAAACAAAGAAGTGCGCCCTTCCTTCTCCTTTCTTATACCGTTCTGAGCAGCCCAGAATGTCTTCTACTTCTCTTGGGCTTAGGGCATAGTAGGATTGCGGATTCGATTCGGCGTAAGCTCTCGACCCTAGACCCCCCTAAACCCTAAAGCCGTAAGCCCTAAACCCTAAAACTCTGAACCCTAAAACCCTAAAACCCCAAAAAGCCCTAAAACCCTAACACCCTAAAGCCCTGAAACCCCAAAACCCCAAAACCCTAAAACCCTAAAACCCTAAAACCCTAAACCCAAAATCCCCAAAACCCTAAACCCTAACCCTAAACCCTAGACCCTAAACCCTAAAACCCTAAACCCTAAAACCCTAAAACCCTAAATCCCTAAACCCCTAAACCCTAAACCCTAAAACCCTCACACTCTCCCAGGCCCACAGGTGCTACAGACGAGCAGCGCCCTGATCCCGGGACTCGCCGAGCCGCGGGTGAACTCGCGCTTTGCGGCGGCGCCCCCACATCCGGTGCCTGGGTTGGGGTTTAGGGTTTAGGGTTTAGGGTTTAGGGTTTAGGGTTTAGGGCTTAGGGCTTAGGGCTTAGGGCTTAGGGTTTCGGGCTTAGGGCTTAGGGCTTAGGGCTTAGGCTTTTTTGAAATTATTCAGAGTTCAGGAGGAAAGTTTCGATCCTCGCCAGGAGCTCACAGCCCAGCTTGGGCCGATGATCGGCCCCGGGCCGCAAAACAGT